TTTTGAATGCCCAAGGATGACACATAATGGCAAGCTTGCAGGAAGAAAAGAAAAATGGAGGATGAGAGGTGATGAGTGAGGCAGAGAGAACAGGCAAGTAAACAGTAGTGTCTGTCTGAGATTCTCCGCCGTTTCAAGGCTCTTGGTGGCTCCGCTGCTCGCTACGGCCTCGGCCAACCTTGTCTCTCAAGGCCTGGTTACAGTCACACACACACACACACACACACACACACACACACACACACACACACACACACACACACACACACACACACACACACACACACAGACACTCATTGAGAGAGAGCTATTGCCATGGGAACCAACTCCTCTATGACTATTCCCTTCTCAGGAGAATAATAGGCACCAATCTTTCTCAACCTCTCTCTTTCATTGTCAGTTTCTCTCTCTCTGGTCACTACAAGCTTCCACCCCTCTTCACGTCCCTCTCTCCTCTCCTCTCCTCTCTCCTCTCCTCCATGTGCAGGAGCAAACACCCACTCTCCTCCTGTTCCACTCCTCTCTTCTCTGCGTGTCTTTGACAGTCGTGAGTTTGATTTGTCATGCGTAATCTGTCCACGCTGGGATTTGTACAGTTCTCACAAGTGAAAAGCAAAACATTAGCTCAACCCAACCTGCACAAACACTGCGTCGGTTGTTTTCAGAGCCACAGCCAAACAGACACGGTTGAAGTAAGGATTTCAGGAGCCAAGGAGAGAAAAATACTTGGTTAAAAATAGAAAATTCTTTGGTTGCCCCGTTTGCTATTTTTCTCTAAAACACGGAGGGGTTTGAGGAGATTTCCCGTGAGTGACTCATTGCTTTCTGTGAACTTGCTCCAGGCAGGTCATTTTTTATTAAAGCCAGCCGAAGCCAAGTTCTTAGGTTTTCAGACACTCTATCGACATGTCCATGTTGAACATTACCCAATCAATACTGGTGTAATTTTCTTGACCACCCATTCCAACAAGAGTCAATTTGCCTTATAGAAATATCAAGGGGGATGTTTTTCCTTTTTCTTTGGTTTGAGGCTAAGCTACTGAACAACCGGCTGAATATTGGCTCTTGTGTTTTGCGTCTCGCCTGGAGGATTCGTCATAATATGCCATTTCAGGTCTAGGGCAATGCCAGAGGCGTGAATAACTTAGTATCTTCAAAAGCCCGATCACTGTCACCTCGCAGGGGAGCGAGGGGGAAATAATCTTTGCCCGAGATCTTGTAACCAAGCATTTCTGAGGGGAAAGATGTGAGACTTGCAGCAGAGGCTGCAATCAAGATGACACCCTGTCATGAGAGCTGCATAACTCACACCTTATCTGCCAGCACGTCATTCAACCTCGTTTGCTGCCCAAACTTTATATTGCTGCCAGAAAGGATACCAAAAGTGACGTCTGTTTGACAAAAGACACCAGAGTTTGTATCCAAAATACACCAAACCTTAAGCCCTGAACATCTGGAAACATCTGTAAAGATTCATATATTGTATTTCCCTTGATTTTAAAAGGGTAGATGTCACCTTGCAGCATCTTGTTTAGGAATCAAATTCAAATATACAGTTCACAGTGTCCCAAATTTGAAGCCTGTGCGAGTTTCTCTCTCTGGTGTCTAACAAGCACGGAATGAAAGAATAGAATGGTGTAAAAATAACCACCTTTCAATTGGATGTACCCTAAATTTTCCGAATATAAAACGTTCCGGTATTTTGTTGTGTCTGTCTGTGGGTGTTTGTCTATACATACTGAGTGGAGAGGAGCACACGTCACGGTTTACACTAGCCAACGCTTGCCAATTACCTTAATCAAATTTCACACCACACAGGGGGATTCACTGTGCCCGGATCAGATAGCAAACATAAGTTGATTAAAATACATGTTTGCTAAAGGACTGGGGCAAAAGAAAATCAACACAGGCTCAGAAAATACACAAACTGATGGCTGAAAGAAAGGATTCAGAGAGTAAATGAGTAACATCTGAAAAACTCACACTCTCAGTGCTACTGTAAATTGTAACGGGCATGTTGGTGTGTTTCACGGCTGCACACACAAGGAAACAGAGTTGTTTATCCACATTACGTGAAATATATTTTCTCACCTGCCATAGTGGTATTTAGCTGTGCAGATAAATTATTTTCAAATTCTAATAAGTCATTGATAAAGGGTCATAAATCTGCAGGTATAAATGTTAGTGAGTCATCAATAAAGGTTAATGGGTCTAACTTTCTAAAGACGCATCACTCCTGCAGAGCAAATGTTAATAAAGTCATTAATAAAGAGTCGCCAGTTTTTCACTTCACCTAATAAGCTGTTGCCAAAGGTTAGTGAGTCATTTTCAAATCTGAACGTTAATAAATCACTAGTAAAAGGTTTTTACAACAATCCATCAAGTCCTAAGTTGTAAATATTAAAATGTTTTTCGAGTCTATCTTATTACAATACTTGCCCTGATGTTTATATATGGAAAAAGTTATTGAATGTTTTAATCATTCCTCCTGTCCACAGGACTTTGTAGTCATCCTTCCTGGCTACAAAGGAACAAATGAGGAACTTCAGCTTCAGTGTGAGCTGAATCAAGTGGGTATCTTTCAAACAGTCTTGCAGTCTTTATAGTACAAAGTTCCCTCTTTGTGTTACTGTCCCTCCACACCAAGGAAACACTGTCCAGGAAACAAAAAGATGGGATTTCATACTTAGAAAAATCAAGTCGGTATCTGCTGAAGTTACAGTCTTTTTTTAGTCTACGTCAGACTGCTGAGGCCTCATGTTACATTACAATATCAAGGGATCATTTCTCTTGGCTAGTTTGGACAGGAGGAATGATTTCATAAGAGCAGTATCATATTAAGACAACTCTGAATCAGTTCTTTAATAACTCATTCATAAATGGGACTTGGTTGTGATGCCCTGCAGCCTTTTTCAGAAGGTGGTTCAACAGTCAACTGTCCATTGACGCAAAGACACAGCAAATATCACGCAAAAGAGTAAATACCAACCTGGCAACCCATACACTGTTTCTATTAATGGTTTATAACTAATTTATTAAGCAGTAGCTAATTATTTATCAACCATTTATAAAGACATTGCTGAGTGAAAACACTTTATAACGTGTGCCTTATTAGAAAATGGTGAACGGTTACCACAAATGAAATGTCACACATCCCCATTGTTTTGGGCGTGGAGGCGAAAATCTCAGAGATATCTCAAAATATCTCAAACACCTGGAGCAACGAAACAAAAACTATCTGCACGGCTACATACCACTAATAAGTAAGTCAGAAAATGTGTTTCATTTTTAATTGAGTGAGTTAACCCTTTCAGGTCATGGTTTCCTCACCTTTTGCCCTGAGTAATGACTCCATTTTCCATGTGATATTAGAGCGTAATGAAGCCCAAACCACAATCGCTTCCACATTTCCAACAGCCGAGTCTATAATGCAGCCATGTGGGATGTCCTCTGTGTGTGTGTGTGTGTGTGTGTGTGTGTGTGTGTGTGTGTGTGTGTGTGTGTGTGTGTATGTTTTAAGTGCGTGTTTCCATGTGTGCGGCTATCTTTATGTGCTAATGCATGCTCACATATGTGGTACTACATGTGTTCACTGCATGTTACACACATACAGCACATTTACCCTTTGATGTGCATGCTTGACATAGAGCACATGGCTATTTTTACTCGCTGTGTGTGTGTGTGTGTGTGTGTGTGTACGTGTTTGTGTGTACAGTGTGCAATCAAAGACAGTGAATATGTAAACGTGTGCTTGTGTTTATATGTGTGTTTTGTGTCTTCTTTTTTTTTTTACATCTGTCACCTTTGGTGCTTGTGATTGTCTTTGTGTGTGAATTTATGTATGTCACATTTGAACATTAGTCTTTGTGGTGCTGCCTTCATGCTGTATTCCTCTTGGGTGATTTTTAAATTTTTTTTATTTGTGATGTCTCTGTATGTGTGTTTATCTGTGTATGTTACTGTCTGCGAGTGTGTGTGTGCGTTTGTGTATGTGTGTGTGTGTGTGCGGATGTGTGTGTGCGGATGTGTGTGCGTGTGAGACAGACAGACTGAGACAGAGAGAACTCCTGACCCACCAACAATGTAGCGTTAACGCAGCCCGACGCTCCACATCTCACCAGCTGAAACTAATTAACGGCAGTTCAGTCACATTGAGCTCTCTCACTCACTTTCTCTCTCTCTCGCTCTTTCTCACACACACACACACACACACCCCCCCCCACAACCCATGCACCCCCCCCCCCCCCGGCTTTTCCTCTCTCTCATGCCCTCGTCTTCCTCCTCCCTGACATCCCCCCGCCCTTCCTTCACCTCCTGCCATCCCTCAACTTGTTTTTCCCTTTAAACCTCCCCTTCCCATATCTCGCACACTCACGCATGCTTGGGTGAACTCATGCACCGGAGCACATCGTCTAAGCATGTAAACATCCCACATGTATGGATAGATCTGCACGCACGCTGCACAAAAAAAAAAAAAAAACACAGTGAAACCCATACTTTTACCCTTCACAAATCACACACTGCACTGTCTTCCTCCTCTCTGGTGGGAGTGTTGCGATACTGTACGCCAGACACATCTTGAAACGCTGTCAGGGTTCAGTCTGTGATTGGATCCAGGTAGACATTTTTGGCATTCTCAGCCCCACTCTGTACCATCCATCACTTTAAAACAACCAGACCTATTGATGTGTCTGATGAATGGCCAGAGTGGGTGAGTATTTGCGAGCATGTGAATGTGTGAACATGTGTGTGTGTGTGTGTGTGTGTGTGTGTGGTGGCAGTGGATTTAGAGCTTGTTGTTTAACACTGCTCATGAAGCCAAACTTGTGGCTTGCGGCGTCGTCTAATGAATCAACTCTCTGTGGTAAACAATTGCCACCATGCGTCCAAGTTTACAGTGGCTGCTGCCCAGAGAATCAGGCGTGAGGATGGTCAGGCATCTGTTTGGAAGTTGAAGAGCTCTCACACAGACACAAAGCAAAAAAATTAAAAAAACATACCTGTTTCACAATCTAGTTGAGAAGTTCACTGCTTGGACGCAAAGGCAGCAACTGGACCAGAGCTTCCAGCAGAGAATCGCATTCTACTTGGAGGGAGACCAGCACAAACAGAGGATGGAGGACGGGGGTTCAGATCCTGTCCGACAAGCTGACTGAGGTTTAGCTGTGGAGCTGGCTGGCTTGAGGGAAACACAATCCTCCGGCAGGCAGCAGAGAAACCAGAGTGTCTGTCGGCTCTACGGGTTCAGCAGCAGCAGCAGCAGCAGCAGCAGCAGCAGCAGCAGCAGCTCCAGCGGTTTGCTTCGTCTTCCCCCCTCACCACCGAACGGAGCTCAAACACACTTGTACGCTTGGTGTGTTTAGGTCATGCTCAAAGTATGCCTGTATACTGATGTTCTGCAAGCTCAGGGAAACCACATCCTGTCACATATTTACCTCCCCCTGCCCTGTCTCTCCCTCCCTTTTTCTCTCTTTTCTGTCTGTCTTTCTGTGTGGTGTTCTCTCTCTCTCTCTTTCTGTGTCTTTTTCCTGTGTCTTTCTCTCGCTCCCCTGTGATTGTCTGAAGCAACTGAGCGCTCTGACCCAGCGTCTGCTCAGCACAGCCTCTCTGCCTCACTGTCTATCTCTCCGGCAGCCGCACCAGTTCCACTCGACTGACTGAAGAATCCATCTGAGGAGAGTAAAGGGAGGGGGGGAAGAGGGGAAGGAGGGATGGGGGGAGGTGGGGAGGGGGCTTCGCTGGGAAATACCAGAGTTACAGAGAGAGGGAGGAGAAGGAGGAGGAGGAGGAAGGGTGGTGGGTGTTGTTTAGGGAGTGAAGCACTAAAGAAAGATGGGTGGACAGAAATTGTAATCAATAGTTTGTTTGAGAGAAAGAAGTGGACAGAAAGCAGCAGAATGCTGTGCCACATAGTCAATACACACACACACACGCACACACACACACACACACACACACATGCACGCTGTGGGAATGGCTGCAGTGTTTTATGAGCTGGTGATAAGTTTGACAAAAAAAAAGATTGAATGGCTGTTTTGTTTTGAATGTCTGTATGTGTGTGTGTGTGTGTGTGTGTGTGTGTGATCCTCAGTACTTCACTCCTCTGTGGTGGTTATGCATATTTAATACGCCCGAGTCAGGACCCCCTATAGCTCTGTATTTATTATTTAAGCCAGTTTGTATGAGGGACCACCACTCTGGAGAAAAAACAGACTCCTGATACATTAACTGTGCTTTCCGCCACAACAACAACTGCTACTACTTCTACTAATGCTACTTCAACAACAAGAACAGGGGAAATCCATGTCAGTACCACTGTATCATTGTTTGAGGTGAACACAATTCTGTAATACTGCTGACACCAGGAAGGAAGTTTCTCTCACCGTCTGTCTGCACCATTAACTCTCTACAACACTTAACATCTATTGATGGTTACAGGAAAGGGCTGTGAGGTTCGGTCAACAGAAAAAGTTTAGTGCTGACTGATAGCTTAAAGTAGCAGGCTACCATAAATGCATTTATCCTAACAATGGATCACATGAATACATGTATGTGAAAGTGGTCACTCACCTGACTGTGCCTGCGTCTTTCACATAGACTGTAAATAAAGGTGGACGGAGCTCAGAGCCACTGCCCCGCTGTTGCCATCTTGGCAGTGCCTGACCCCGCCAAACTCCTGGCTAATACAAAAACTGGCAAAGAAGTGGGGCATGTGTGGAGCCTAAACTTCAGTGAATGCAGGTTTGTCACAGGCAAAGACTCACCCACCTGTCACTCAAAGCAGCCACGCCCTCAATTATGCATAACTTTAATAAAAAGTTATTCACCTCCCGTTGTCATATCAGCTTATTGTTTTGGTTTTCCAACCTACAACTTTACTATTTTGATTCACTCTCACTGCTCTCATACAATATTTTTTGTTGGCCACAGCAGGCAGTTGTTTTCAGCAAAAAAAGAAAGCTCTGATAAACTGAATACTAGCCTCCCAGCACAAACAGAATAAGTTTGCGACCAGCCAGAGATCATATTAGGGCATTTCACAGCTTAAGCACCAGATATTTCCCTCAGGAGTTGGTAGAGACCAAAATGGAGCTAAGAGGAGAGTTCAAATTTGATGGCCAGAAAAACAACTTTCTCCATATCTGCCAGATGCGTAAAAAAGCAACTGTTTGCTAATATGAACTTGCTAAGGTGATAATGTGTCGTGTTTCTGCTGCCCCCAAATGGACAAAAAATCAGCTACTGCAGGTTTAAAGATCGGAGGACATACACACAAGGGAAAGCATGATGATAACAACATTTCAACACACATTTGTTGTTTGTTTTGTTGTTTTCATGCTTCAATATTACAAAGAGAGTACATGTGACACACTGACCCTTGTGTCTGGAGAGAGGCACAAAGGTTGGACTGGGTCCTTGTAGGTGAAATGGGTTGACCTGTGGCTCAGTTACATCTCCAGAGAGGTGAACAATTGGGGCTTAATGCGAATGAAGCAAAGCCAATGAAAGAAGGGAAACCTGTCTAAATTATTAACTGCATTATTATTATTTGTAAAATACTTTTATAAACAACCAACAGTTGTTATTGAGCTTGAAGGTTCATTCTTGACCTTAGAAACAGCAGTTTGAAAAAAACAGTTTTACCAAAAGAGGTTATGTTTTCACCTGTGTCTGTTTATTTGTCAGCAAGGTTACACAAAATATACAAAACCGATTTGCACCAAACTTGGTGGAGTGATGGGTCACGGGCCAGGGAAGACCCCATTCAATTTTGAGGCCTCTATCATTGATCTGGATCATTTACTATGACTTTGAGTTTATTTCTCAGTAGTCTGGCGTATGTTGTTTGACACTGGCCTTGGCGGAGGGCTGTGCTCTCTGAGTGCCCCTCTAGTTTTACAACGGTGACTATTTTAACAGGCCTTGGCATCTGTTTCTCAAGGATGTTGAGAAAGCTCTGGAGAAAAAGTGCTGTGTAGACAGCAGTACACAGCTGTTACACTGAAAACACTGAGATTTTTTTTTTACCCATAGAGCACAACTTTGGTCCAAGCAGAAATATTTTGACAACTGTTTGATGGATTGCCATAAAATTCTGGACAACTGTTCATGATCCCCAGCACATGAATCCTAATGACTGTGGTGATCCCTGACTTTCCAGCCAGCGCCACCATCAGGACAATCTTTAAATTTGTCCAGTTTTGTTTTATGACCAAATACTTTAAAATCTAATCACAGTCCCATCAGCCTTAGCTGTGTTGTGATTAGTAAATGTTAGAATACTAACAGGCTAAACAAAGATGGAGAACATGTTAAGCAATATACCAGCTAAGCATCTGCATGTTAGCAGTGTCATTGTGAAGATGTGCCTATACAACTTTCCAGCTGCTATTAGAAAATAGTCTTGTTGATATGCAACATCTTCATTATAACACATAGACAATGATGTTATATATTTAGCAAGTGTTTATTTAAGAATAGTGATAATGTTAAGAAAAAAACTCATGTGTAAAGATGTTAAGAAATCCTTTAAAGAATCCAGTCTAACATGAAAACATAAAATGCGACTGACAGCCTATCCTCTTTGAATGGGGTGAATATCTGCAAAGTGTGAAATTATTCAAATGATGAGATGCAAATAAAAATGATGTCTGTCAAAAATATACTGACAATATGAGAAAAGGAAAAAAAAAACCAGCTGAATAACAAGGGAGTCAAAGGATGACTTGCTTTTTGATGAGTTGCCATAATTACTGGTGAAGAGCTCCACATACTGTGATTAGACTTACTAGTCCTATTCAATGTGATCATGACATTGGCCTCTTCTCAAAGTCATTTTTAGCCTAATAGGGGATTCACTTGCTCATTTGCCAAAGTCGTAGCTGCCTTTTCAAGGAGAGTCCTCATTGTGTCGCTCAGACGCTGCAACGACAATCTAACTCCAGGCTGCAAATTAATGATATGTCTCTTTTAGAGATGGAGATTTCCTGCCTCTGTTTGCTGTCACATCAGGAGCCCCATTAGAATTTAATCACCCGTCCTGAACGAATGGAAACTGCCAACACATATCTAGATCTGGGCAATGTATGTCCGATTTTGGAAGGATGTTTTTCTGCATTAAACCACGAAAAAAGGTTCAGTGCTGAAAGGGAAAAGAGTCAATCCGGCAAATCATATCTTTGAAACACCCGTGGAGAGACCTGAGGTTGGAATTAAAGAACAAAAGAAAGTGGAATTGTTGACGTTGGGTAGATGCTTCACTAGTTTCCAGCCCTTTAGACTGAATGAAATCAAACAGATGCCAAAATACTGAAGCCGGCCTGACTGGCGCTGAGGCTTGAATGACACTAATGATCACCCACGGTGTAATTGCAAACATTCTTTAGCTTTGGGTAATGGCTAAAAGAAAACAAGCCAAAAAGTGAAAAATATACACATGGGGCAGCATGACATTTACATGATGTCATCTTAAAATCTTCACCTCAATGGGTTTATTGTTTAGCTGCAAATCAGTTTTGGTCAATGTCCCATAACTTGGTGAAAACCTGAACTTATTGCTGAACAATGGGCACAAAGGGCACGGTTCTAAATGCAGATATTTCCTCACCGGAGAATTGTGGAACAACTGAAACGGGACAAACAGCGTCAGACGAGTTATAAAGATGGGCAGCCAAGCATAGTGTTTGTGCAAGCTGGTGTTTGTGGAAGCATCAGTCTTACATGAGCGGCTGAGGACTCAGACAGACAGCTGATAGGACGGGAGAGCGAGTGGAACGAAACCCATCACTGAGGGAAACCTAAATGGGTCTCCTCATTCTGCTGTAAAATAATAACATTGTTCAATCACTGGCTCTATTGTATTCAAGATTTCATACAAAGAGCACAGTTGTGTTTTGTTATTGGGCCTCAGCTGCTTCCCCAGCTCCTCTGTGACTAGAGATGTGACAGTGCCCCCTAGTGTTCAATGTGGAAAGTGAACTGCGCCTCTCAAATGTAAAATGGAACAGGATATAAATATGTTTCATCCAGTGATTTACTATGTGTCTTTATTTTTAAGTATATTTTTCCTGACCTTTACTTTGCGGGTCTATTTCCTAGAGAATATGTAAAATCTACTCAGAAAATCTCCTTCATTCAAAATTTGACTTTTCTTTCCTTTAGGTTTTGATTATGCTCAACTGGTGAATCACATCAAAACACAAAACACAGATGAAACAGGGAGACAGGCTCTGTGTGTATTAAACCACTTCCTATAGTGCACTACAGTACATTTACTTACCTCCATTTTATTTGAGTGTGAGAAAATCAGCTTCAGGTTAAATCCTGAAAATAATACCACAATGCGATGAAAAATTTTCATCGCATTGTACATTACTATTTGCTTAAAAGATTTGCTACATGATTCTGCGCTTCACCTTTGATAGATGTGAAAATTATGAAGTCATGTCATGGTGACAGTAATGACACAAAATGACTGATACGTGCATGAAACCTGTATTTACTTCTAACTATAGAGTAAATTATGCACTGAATGAATGAGACTTTAGCATTCTGTGCAGAAATACTTAAGACTAGCATTAGCGCATTAGCACTAGCATAACAGATCTTTTATTAACAAGATTTTAATCCTGAGCCACAAGGAAGCAAGGAAGGTCGGCTGCAGACTCTTGAGCAGTGTGTATGTATTAAGTGGTATTTTTCTTTTTCACAATGATTAGGTGCCTGAATTCAGCAGCAGGGATGAAGAGGAAAAGATTTTCAACAAAAGACTTCAACCTTTCCCAGATAATTTTCACTGCATTAGGTTGGCAGTTTACTGCCCAAGGTGTTCGCCTGTATAGCTATACTCAGGGCTGTCTAGCACTCTCTTCTGTAATGGCTACTATTACTTTAAATGGTGCACCTTCATTCTTACCTTTTACCTCTTGTTCCAAGGAAAGCATATCTGAATGTAAACACCGCCATGGGTACATAAAATGCTACACCCATGGTATCCATCATCACATAGAACATCTATTACCATTGACAGGGGAGAACAAACTGACTGCAGTTTGCATGTCACTTTATGGACTTGCTCCAAACTTGATATCTTAACTTTTTAATTGTGGTGTGGCTCTAGAGGTGCCAATGTCCGTCTGTCTGTCATTGGTCTGTCCAACACGTTGGTCCAGATTCAAATATCTCAGCAACTACTGGATGGATGGCCATGAAATTTTGTACTAGAATTCATGGTGCCCCTCTCTAGCGCCAAAATATCTATATCTACCTGATGGATTGACACACCGTGTTGTATAGAAATTTATGGTGCTCAGAAGATAATTCCTAGTGATTGATTTCTAAATTTTATACATTCTATGTAATAAATTTTAACTTATTTGAATTATTTATTTATTTCTATTTTCTAAATTTACATGATATTATTTTGTTATTATTCCATAACCATAACCCTGTTCATTTCATTACATTTTATTAATTTGTCAGACAAGTTGAACCACAGCAACAGACAATAAGTGCATTCAAATTCAAAAGGAACAAGAACTAGATGTCATCAAAAACTGGGAGAGCAAGTGTTTTAAGGAGCTTCTTCAAACATATCTGTCTGGATATCGACGTCTCTGATCAGGTCAGACTTTTAAGTAGCTTGTTTTACGACCAAATATCTGCAAAATCAATAACATTCACATCAGCTGCACTGGACAATCTGTACTATTTAGACAATGTGACCCTGCTGAAATGCTACACGAAGATGCTACTCAGCATGTAACTAATTGATTCATGAGCGTGTTAGCTTGCTGATGTTAGCATTTAGCTCTAAGCTTTGCCAAAGTCTCACAGTGCAACTTGAGTGGCTCCTAGCCTTGTTTTTCTTTTTGTTTAAATCGTGACAGAACTTTTCCTTTAATTAGCTAGGCCTAAATAAACCCGGGATCAAGCCAAAAAAATCCCACAGGAAAATTGGAGGAAAAACAGTTCATTGGTTTTTTTGTTGTAGCAGCGATGAGACAATGTTCTTCAACATGAGGACCATTAACGCAGGTGTAAAAATAATAACCATTTTCTTGGAAAGAATCCATGTATTTTAGGAATCAATAATGGAAAAACAAGTGTTGCCTATTCCATGATGCAGGCTGAAATAGAACTTTTCTTTGACCAGTGAGACTGTTTGACTCCAACTACCTATTACTACTAACACAATAATGCATTAAGCACAGAGGCGATAGCAGTATAATGTTTATTGTGCATTAACACATAATCAAGAATCAACAGAGAGGAATTTGTTGTGTTCAGAACATGCAGGGCTGATCGAAGATAAAATTCTGCTTTGTTCACAAATAGTTTCTTACAGTGTGAGCAAGTCGTTTCTTTACTTCATACATCTTAATTTGTTAATCTTGACTGTTAACAGTTACATATGATACACTATCTCACTTTAGTGCTGTTTGCGCTCTCTTTCCAAGGGATCATTGATAAAGTGTGTGGCCTGCACAATGAGGCCTTTATTTGGGTTTTTATTAACCATGACTATTATTCGTGATGAAGGAGCTAAAAAACAAGTTACTTAAGTGCATTTACGCATCTAGCAGGCACAGAGCAACATTAGCATTCATTTAGAGTCTGATTTTGATCTCCACCAGCTACTGAGTGAAATAGCTCGATTAGTAGCTTACTTAAGCAGCTAGTTGCTGACTTTTATTTGTCTGTCGTTTGGTGCTGGACAGGTAGAGTACAGTGGAGTGCGTACAGTGGGTTTATCAGAGGTTGTTCACAGAAAACAGCAGCCAGCTGCAGGTGAAACGACACAGATTAGAGCTGTGAGAGTGAATAAAACCAAAACGAGCTGAAAGATGCTAAAGTGATCTGCAGAGATGAGGGGAACTACAGAGACAGGTGATAATTCTCTAAGGATTTGTCACTACATTACAAGCACTTTTAGATTACACTTGGTGATTTGAGACATGCAGATTATTATTAGTGCATCTTTGAAGACTTCATTTAAAAGTTTTCATAACCTGGTTTCACATTGAAATGTTGCTAATGTGACATTTATGTCCTACATTTCATTTTTTTGTTTTGGTGATATAATATTTAAGATATTTTTCCTCATATTTCAGCTCTAAGCTGCTGGAGCTACTTCAGAGTCAATCTTTTTGCATATTTCAACAGGAAACAGTCAGAAACACAACCTACTACAACGGCTGCTCACACTCATACACTTGATAGACAAATTCTATGAAGCATTTTCCAGTCCCTACTCCTACACGTTGATCAGAATCAACTTTCTGGGCGCGTCTTCAACCTACATGAGCTGCATGACTTTAATCCATTTACATACAAAACCATACAGTTCTGTCTTGTAATCTAGCAGTGCTCCTTTTCTTCTATTTACCCGGACCTCAGCTGCCTTTCCATTCTAAGATGTGTAAACTTGAACTAATACATCAGATAGTCACTACACCCTTGGGCTTAACAATTCCTTGTTTACTCCCCTGTCAGTTGCACTCTTTTGAAAAAAAAGCCTCTTCAGTGCTGTGTGATAGATTTGTTTTTGTCCTGTATCCATTGTCTACATCCCAGGATACAGCCAGAGGGGAATGTGCTGTATCTTTGACGACAGTGAGTGGCTGAGCTGGGTCTATAAAAGGAAGAGCGAGAGGGAAGCGCCATCTCACCTCCACCTCCTGAAGACCCAGGTGCAGGTATGTTTCCCAGTTCAGAGGTGTCCTTAAGTTTATTTTATTTTTTCTGTTTTTATTTTTTTAATCCTTTGATAAAACAAACAAAATTTTATATAAGAAAGTCAAGAGGGAGAATCAAGTCCCTTAAACAGCATTTTTTTCTTTTTTTCTTTTTATATATATATATATATATATATATATATATTCTATATTGATCTGTTTTCTAATATATCTCAAAAAAATCATACCGTGCATACATATGTTATGGTGAGTCTTCATTTCGCTTTGTTTTCATCCCACTGTAGGTATTTTGCTTTTCATCAAGAAAATGTTTGCGTTTGTGATTTGCATCTTGGCGCTGCATCAAGTGCAGTCTGCCTGCGTTGTGGTGAGTAGAAGGAGCAGCAAGTTTTTGAATATTAGGAGCTTGCTGTGCTTTAATAATATATTTTTTGTGTTTGAATTGTTTTTCATAGGCTGTAAAGTGCATTTGCTGAAGTGCACTATCTGAGTACAGTTACAGTACATTAGTTAAATACTAATATTGTGCTAAAATATGTCAATTTTGTGAGACTACTACATTTTAAATATATCTGAGAAATATACAACATATTGATTATGCATATCGCCCAGCCAACAATAATTAATATAACACTATGAAAGACCCTATCTATACAATTAGTCTTTTTACTTTTGATACTTTTTAAACTGCTAATGCTTATGTATTTTTAATCAGCAAAACTGAGCTCTTGATTTAATATAATGTTATTGAGTCTCTGTTTGTATTATGCCTTTCTTCTTTTTTTTTTCCATTTGAAGGTTTTTATTTCATTGTCTTTTATGTCCATATTCTATACCCTGATTGCATGTGTTGTTGTTGATGTGATGTTGTAAATTTGTTTTTGATAACTGCTATTCAAATAAAGTTTACTATTCTTATTATTAGTATTTGTAGTAGTAGTAGTAGTAGCAGTAGTACAAATACTTCCACAGAAGTAATGTATTTCTGAATTTTCACTCCTATGTTTCACTTAACTCAAATTTCTTCTCATTTTCAAATGTGCCTTGCTGCACGCCGTGGTGTGTCCACAGCAAGGTAAGCACCAAGTGAAATGCATCAGGCATGTTTTAGTTTTCAGAGGTATTTTGTTTTCTAGCATCAACTCTGAGATTCTTACTCCTACTGAGATTATGGGATTTGGCACAATCTTCTTTGTATGTTCTTTTATTATGTTAAGTCGTTTCAAAGTAATTAAACCAGGATATGTTTGAGTCATATTGTGGATATTAAGCCACCAGAGTAAATATTACTATTATGTCCTTAATCTGGTGTTTACACACACACATGTATGTGTGTGTATATGTGTGTGTGTGTGTGTGTGTATGTGTGTGTGTGTGTGTGTGTGTGTGTTTGTTTGTGTGTGTGTGTGCATGTCTGGGTGTGTCTGCGTGTGCATGCAGACATTTGCCCAGAAAGCCCAACGGTTCAGGCAGAGATCGTTGACAAGCACAATGCCTTCAGGAGAGCAGTTGAGCCTACAGCTTCAGATATGCTGATGATGGTTTGTTTATATTTGTGTAATAAAAGCTTCTAAGATAATATTTGCCAAATATCTTCAGCATTTGCTTTCCCTTGTTTGTGAGAAGGAAAAAAACTAAGTGGGTTTTTTTAACTTTTTTTTTCCTTCATATTTTTCTTTCTGTCAAATCAAAGATGATCCAGTTTTCAAAAACAATATTTTGCAAGACAATTTCTACACTTTGAGTGTCCATTTGAAGTGAAATCCTTGATTTGTTTTGTTTTTTTTTTTTCCTTTGCAGAATTATAGTGAGGAGGTAGCAGTTAGTGCTCAGGCCTGGGTTGACAAATGTATTCTGGCTCATGGAGCACCCAGCACCCGCATGCTAAATGGTATAGTTCTCCTTCCTTTATTCCTGCTCTTGCTTTGTTTCCCTTTCTCCTTGCTCCACATATGCCAGGAATATTACCTCAGAGACATAAAGGTTTCTTGTGAACTGACTGACCTTGTGACTGATGGTCAGAGTCACAGCGAACATTATCTTATCTCCAGTCTTCATACCTTCTTTTAATAACAAATTACAGAGAGTAGGATAGGTTATCATTAAGGAGATTATCATCAATAGGCATTTTAATGAATTATTTTATCTAAATAATGTAATCTACTGAGACATGAAAACAAAACTGTACAGTTGCAGAAGCCCATTAATCAGTGCTGCCATGTGTTTCTCACCGTCGAGCAGGATATGAATTAGGTGAGAATCTGTTCTATTCATCCTCACCCTACTCATGGACAGACATCATCAGTGCCTGGCACAGCGAGGTGTCACACTACCTGTATCCCAATGGATCCACCAATGGCCAACCTATCGGTCACTACACACAGGTAACACTTAGCTGTTAATGTCACCATAACAGTGATGTGTTGACAAAGATAAATGTGGTGGTTTGAAAATAAAGTGTGTTGTAATGGCTGCAATAAGAAGAGGTTATACTATATTTACTGAGATTGCAATTTTCAAAAAGCAGTTACTGTACACACACTGTAAGACATAGTATTGTCTTACAAATGTACATTTTTGATCAATTTTCACATTCAGTATATTCTATTCTATTCTATTCTATGATATTGTTGAAATGTTATAAGAATGAGAAAAAAACATGAATGAGTCATGACAGTGTTTTAAACAGTCAATATGCATGACCACTACTACTAATGCATTACTACTAAAGCGGCACTGAAAACAACAACATTGTGTTTCCGCTGGCAGGTGGTCTGGAACAGCTCCTACAGAGTCGGCTGTGGAGCGACGCTGTGTCCTAACAACATCTATTTCTATGGCTGCCACTATTATCGAGCGTATGTGACCTCATTCACCCTCCACAAACTTAAAACACATGACTTTGTTCAATGTGAGAGAGCTATCAGGAGAGCTTTAAGGAGCTTTTTGTAAGTTTTGCTATCGCTCCATAGCCAGCATTAGCATTAACAGCTGTTTACTTACCAGTCTAGAAGAAATGTTGTGAGTTCAGCATCAAACTTCATGCCTTTACTCACCAAGAGCTGTCTCCAGTGGTGGAAAGCAACCCTCTTGTTTTGCATCTACTTCTATCACTCCTTTTCTTGTTCTGAAGTTAGCATGCTAACCAGCTAACGGTCTTGTTACTTTCCGATACCGAGTCACTGCAGCGTCCAGGCTGCCATAAATAAGCAATGCTGCTCAGAGGGTGTACTCTAACCTCTTGTCTTGTAAACAGGTAAATGGCTAAAGCTCTTGGCAAGACTGGTAAGTAAACAACTGCTAATGCTAACTCTGGCTATGTAGCAATAGCAAAACTTGCATATAACATTGTTGGAGGGAAACTGTGAAATTGTGTATATATTTAACCAGAGAGTGAAAACAACTAACATATTTGTCATCTATTCAACAGAGGAAACTTCAGGAGCTGGCCACCATATAAGGCTGGACCCCCATGTGCTTCCTGTCCCAATGCCTGTGAAGATAAACTCTGCAGTAAGAAACATACAATGACAAATACACAATGTGCATTCTCTGTGTGGCAAATATGATGTTATAATACAAGGAATATTGTTTACTAAGATACAAAATAGGCAGTGGTAGCTAACAGTTGTGTCTGTTTTTCATTTCAGCCAACCCTTGTCCTTACATAAACAAGTTCATCAACTGTCCAGCCTTGAAAGACATATATGGATGCAAAAATAAGCTGGTGTATGACTGGTGTCCTGCTGCATGCAAATGCACCAATGAAATCATTGCAGTAGCGTAAAGAGAAACACTCCAGTCTGCAAACTTCATCTTTTTTTGGCAATGTGAAATAAGATAATTCCATGTAAGCTTTTATTAATATGTCTAGAAAAATTTAGAATTGAGTTTAGTTAAAGGGGTGTTTTGGAATCATTATACAAATTTCAATTACATTTACAGAGGGAGTAAAAATACACATATAATCACATTATAATTGAAAGAAAAAATGTTTTGCCATACATGTATATCTCTATTTTCTACATTAAAACTTATCAATCAATTAATCAATATTGTCTGTTCGTTATGTCATTGAGATAACCAGATAACCACCATCTGTGCAGTGAAGTATGGAATAAAAGATGTTACCTTGGTCGGAGACCATACTCTGATATAAAGAGATGTTGACCAGGGATATTTTGCTTTATATATTAAGGCATTTAGATAAATCAAACACCAGATGAACCATGGTATATTTCTCCTTCCTTTATACCTCATCTCTCCTTGTTTCCCTTTCTCCTTGCTACACATACGCCAGGAATATTACCTCAGAGACATAAAGGTTCCCTGTGAACTGACTGACCTTGTGACTGATGGTCAGAGTCACAGCAAACATTATCTTATCTCCAGTCTTTTTTTTTTCATTATGTCTTTGCTGGTTTAGTATGGAAGACAAAAAGTTACCGTGTTTGGAGATCATACTCTGATATTAAGAAATGTTGACCATGGAATTTTTATTTTATACCGTAAAAGCAACAAGAGAAATCAACTTCAAACACTATGAACCACCTAATGCTAATCGTTAGTCTTCAGTGTGTAAATGTTACAAATTGCTGCTTTGAGTGACTATCAACCTTTCCAGTGTGAAAGCTGCACTAATCAATATTTTTATATTAACAAAGGGCCAAATGACTATGTGTAATGTGAAAAGAATTGCTCATACTGACAAACCCTCAGAAAATTATCACCTGACTTTGCAGTTTCCCTCAGCTGTACAGATTTGTCTAGTTAATGCTTTTGCTTCACTGTCACCGCTCCCCTGAACCTCTTCTCCAGCAACAGCAGGGAGCTGTTTTCAGGGGAAAAAGCTCTGATAAACCCAGCGTATACTGGCTTCTGTGCACCAAATGGCAGGGAGATAAAGTTAGATAATAACAGCTGCACATAGTGGAGCATTTAGCAGCAGACACCTATTTTTCTCGGGGGTTAGTGGAGACCAGAACGGAGCTACAGGGAGAGTGAAAAATCTTCTTGAATTCAATATTGGACTTAAACTCCAAATGAACGCTAATGTTGCCATGTTAAATAAGTTAAATATAAAACAATAATTGTTTGTTAACATGCTCCTCATATTAATTTAGAAGGTGATGACATGCCAGTGCTGTGCACTAACACCAAGACTATCAGACTATCAGCTGAACAAGAGCGACTTATCCAGGGTGAGCGGTTGGGGCTACTAGTGATGTGGTAGTCATCATTGACTAGTGCAGCAGCTAACAGTGGACTGACAGCTAGCCCGCTAGCCAATTGATTAACAATTGACTGTACAGTCTTAATGAAGTGGTATGTTAAAACTAAGTCATTTTCAAGCAAAGATAACAAAGCCATGACACTGTCAATCGGAACGGGGGGGGGGGCAGACAAAAAAAAGTCCTGGTCAACCTCTCTCAGAGGAAAAGCACAGAGAGCATCTCCAGGTAAATGGGCCATTTTTGTGTTACATCATCCTCCAGCATACAGATTTAGAGGGAAACTGTTTTGGTGCAGTGACTTGCATAACAGTTGCCAACAGAGGGCTGGTGCCAAGTCCTCTGTGACAACCAGAGCTGAGCCAAGTCTTTCTGGAGCCCTGAGCGCACACACACACGCACGCACACACGCACGCACACGCACGCGCACACACACACACACACACACACACACACACACACACACACACACACACACACAGACACCACCACCACCACCACCACCACCACCACCCCGCTATGTCCAATCTTCAATATTATATTTTGAGAGCTCATAACTTTCCCCTTAAAGTCAGTCTATTTCCACACGTTCAGGCCGCTTAGTTTTCCTGCTGGTTGCTAGTATAATTTGAAAAAAATGAAAACTACAAATGTTTTTTGATGCTGCAGGTGATATGCGGATATTGCCGACAGTATGTATGCTGGATGTTAACTCCATTGAGGATACATCGTACATACTGGTTAAAACCAGCTTGTATTATTTCCTGTTAAGACTGCAATGTAACACGTATCTCTTAAACTATCATCTTTGAATAAACAGCAATGCTATGGGTATCACTTAACAGGCTAACCCTAGATCAGTGGCTCACAGGGTGGGTCACAAGATAAATGTAATACGATTAATAGGAGAGGAAACACAAAAACTAAAAAAAACATGGATATCTGCTACAGAAAATAATTATTTTGTCTGCTTGGTTGACATTTTCACAACCAGGAGACATATGCAATGAGCAGTGAGGGGTCACAAGAAGGCATTGCTTTGTATTAACAGGTCACACTAGGTATTAAAGGCAGTGTATTGTCAGGAAAAGACAGTACAGCAGATAATAAGCAAATCTTTACTGCACAATAAACAAAAATCCATGACCTTTGTATTCCAGCAGATGGCTCTCTTGTACAACTCACCACACCTGACTGTATCCCACAACATTTAGTTTCTCTGCCTTCATCTGAACCATCAGCCTATGAATAAAATGCATCAAATCATGTAGAATAATGTACTTCATCACTCACTCCCTGTGTCTCTTATGCAGGAGGCTATAGTTTTTGGCTTTATGAACTACATGTAAGACATGCGTTGTACCATGTGTGACCAATATTTCAAAGATCTTGACTATCTCAGAAGAGCGGATGATTTGTTATGACTTCACATAAGAGGGTTTACTTTCACAAGAAACCTGATGAAACGGCACAACAGGCTGTTACGACTATTACTTCACCACTGAGATTAGTCCATCGTCTCCATGCACTGTCCACATAAAGAGGAAGCGCTGACACACAATGTGACTCTAAACAGAAAAACAATTGTCTTTCTGGGAGATAACTGCTGTCCTTGAGGGATGTCATATGCAGCTTCTGAATACAGTTGACATCAGCAGCAGCAAATATTAATAATGCAGAAGAAGAAGAAGAATATAAGAGTATATAAACTTAGCACTCAGAGCAAGGAGAAAAGTTATATTCAAAGCCTTTATTTAACTGGCTACTATTACTACCCTGGTGAAAACCCTGCAAAGGTTATTGGGCTTTTTCTGTAACTTTTCTCCCTGTTCTGACAAAGAGTGCCTGAAGAATGTCTTCTTTTCTGTGATCAGCCTTTTTATCTTCAAGGATACTGTAGGTTTCTTGGACTTACTACATGTGAAACTGATAGGCCTCTTTAGTAGCTGGCCTCTTTCAATATTTCTTCTTTTACTTTTCACATGGTCAGTGATATTTAAAAATAAAGAAAAATGTTTAAAAAATGAATAGTTTGTGTTTTCGCTGTTTGGCATGCAATTTTTTTTTTGTTTTCTGTTGTTTTGTATGTAGTCTTATGTTGAATTTTGTGTTTGTGTATTTATCTACATGCTGGGTTTGTGATTTTGCTGTTTGGTCTGTATTTTGTTGTTGACTTTTGTGTCGTTTGTATGTATTTTGTGATGGCTTTTGTGTTTTGTTTGTATTTCCTTGTTGACATTTGTGTTTTGTGCTGTTTTACATGTATTATCTTATTAAATTTTGTACTTTGTGTTGTGTTTTTAACATATTTTCTGTTGGCTTTTGTACTGATTTGCATTTTCACGAAAAGTTTTGTTTTTTTGCTCTTCTAACCAATGTATTTTCTTGTTAACTTTTTTTCATGTTGAGTTTTTATGATATTGTAGACTATGTATTTCCTTGTTGACTTTTGTGCTGTTTTGCACTTTCTTGTTGACTTCTGTGCTGCTTTGTGAGTATTTCTTGTTGACTTTTGTGCTGGTTTGTATGTATTTCTTGTTGACTTTTGTGCTGCTTTGTGAGTATTTCTTGTTGACTTTTGTGCTGGTTTGTATGTATTTCTTGTTGACTTTTGTGCTGCTTTGTGAGTATTTCTTGTTGACTTTTGTGCTGGTCTTTTCTTTTGAGTATTTTAAAACTCCCACATAACTTAAACGTTACATACTGTGGTAGTGGTTCACATGCTTTAGCCTATAGGCTACTTGTCCCTATAAAATTAAAATACAGTGTGTATCATGCAGGTCTATTTGTTCTGTAGAAACATAAAAGGAGGCGTTTCCCGGAGTCGGTGAAAAAAAATTGAGGTTTGATTGACACTACAGCCTGTTTTGCTTGTCGCGCTTTCACGACACAGAAACAAGTCAGTCGCTGGGAGACGACTTCACTATGTGACTGTCTCAAGAAGAACTTACGAGGCAGACACCTAACGGCAAATCAAGGTTTAAGTTTATTAAGTTATTATTTAAAACTTAGAACAGGGTTACTGGTGACTGTCGAGGCTGACTGGCTGGTTGAGGGTAATTCCTCCGTTTTTTTTTTTTTAGCTAACCAGCTTAACGACAGCGGTTGTTTTGACTGGACTTTGAGTTGGTTGTGAAAACTAACTTCACCCAGCTAGCTAGCGAGTGGGGTTAGCTAGCTAGCTAACTAGCTCAGCTCAGCTCAGCTCAGCTCAGCTCAGCAGCTTAGACACCAAACGGTTGTCTGTCTCCCTTCAGCTGCAGCAGCAACTTAAAAGGAAAACCATCCTTCACATGGAGAGAAACAACAGCTCAGAAGGCAAGTACATAAAGCTACCGAGCGGTACATTGAGCTAATCGAGAAGTCAGAACTTAACATGCTTTTTTAAAATTTATTTAACTTAACATTACTGATCCCTGCTTAGCCGAGGAGGGTGGGTTACTACTACTGTAAACATGGAACACAGTGGAGAGGTCTGTGGGATGAAAACGGTGGAAATGTGCTTAAAAACTTAATGAAAATGTGGAGAGAGAAAAAAATCTGTACATATAGGGAAGCATGTTGGTTGTGTGCCTCTTATCACGCTGCATTTACAATGACAGTATTCACTGATTGTAAGTTAACATCCGCTTTCGGTGCAAACCAAATTTTAGTACTGACCACTTAAGCTTCATACCTTGTTCTCGTGGCTGTATGACGCTAAATAGCCGTTTCGGTTAAACGTTACTGCTGTTGTAACGTAATGTCATGTTGCCTAATTATGCTAATCGCTGTGGTTTCTATTCACAGAGCACAATGCACGGAGCAAGCCCCTCTGTCTGTAGTAACCTGACAGATATGTGCACCGAGAGATGATATGGCAGAATTTCGGGCAAATGTTACAACGAGGCAATAGGCCAGTCAGGAAATTGGAGTAAAGCTGACACATAAGGCTTTGCTACCCAGCAGCTTTGCCAGCTTGTGTGTGTGTGTGAAAGAGAGAGAGTGTGTGAGTGTGTGTGAGTGTGTGTGTGCTCCAAGTGCCTATGGCGGAGTTTGGGAAGGACGGAAGCCTTCCTCCATTGAATCTTGAGGATACGGCCGTGCCCAGCGACGAGGCAGCTGGCAAGACGCATTGCGAAGTGTCGGTCTTGAATGGAGACTGTGGGATATCAGAAAATATGGTCGGCTCAGGATCCGTCGTCGCACCTGGCAGCCAAGCCGGGGTGGAAACCGCCAACACCTCTGTCGGAGTGGATGGCAAAAATGAAATACCACGCAGGAGCAGCATTATCAAGGTAAGCCTTGAAGTTAAAGTCTCCGTGTTATGCCATTCATTCGTGTGAGCTAGCCTGCACACCTACAATGAACATAGTGTTGGAAGTTACAATGCAAAGCCCTGCTCTCGTTTTAATAGCCCCTTTTGAGTGCATCATTTGCCAGCTTTTCAGTAACCTTGCCTATGAGTGTGCTTCATATTTTCAATGAAATAGGTGGTAATCACAATATAGGCCAGTAAATGGATCTCCAGTAGCACATCCTGTACTTGGTCTCAATATTATTCATAGAATTTGAACAGCAGAGCTTCGCCTTATTCTTGAATCTCAATAATCTGGCTAATGTGTATGCCTGTAGAGGCTGGATAAAATGAGATGATCTTTGTTTCCAGAAGGGAAAAAATTAAGCGTTACAAGAGCAGACAATACAGGAATAAAGCAGTAACATGACAGTACACTATGCTCATTATACTAATTTGTACACTAAAACAAGTTTGTAGTGTAATATCAGAGATCAAAATTGTAAAATGAAGATTGCACATGGATGAAGGTGGACGGAGGTAAATGGGATGCCTTTGTAGAGAGCAGCAAATACAGTAAATGGCATAATATAATGTATTGCACTTGAGTGAGAATGAGACAGTGTCCATACAGTGAATAGCAGTATATACAGTTGAGTCAGTTCAGTACAGCAGCAGATACTGTAGAATGAAAGTGGTTACTGGTAATTAAATATCATGCAGGTGCCACTGAATGTTTTTGTATGTTGACCTCATATATGCACAGATTAATGAGAGTTTGCCTCAACATTGTTTAGGTGTTGTACACTATCAGCTGAATATGAATGTAGTAGTGAGTAACACAATGCAATATCTCATATTCCTTCAAAAGAAAGGTGGTCAGAGGAAATCCTGAACTAAACACTCATGTTGTGTTGCCCTGTTCCAGGTGCTGATCTTTGGATGCTGTATGTATTTCAGAAGTATATATGCAAAAAAAACAAACATACTTTAACTGATTAATATCTCTAAACTCTTTGGTCTCAGAATTTTATGTATATATATATATATATATACATATATATAGTGATTGTAAGTTTCAGCCTTAAGTGATTTTCAGCCTTAAGCTGTGCACTTTAGTTTACTTGTCTCCTCAGCATGGGCGTAGTTGTCATAATAATGTCAGTCATAAGACTCTCATTATTGTTAATGTTAACTGTACTCTATGCCTACAGAACATTTATCATAACATGGACCCCAAATGGTTCTTGAAAGAGATGTCATAAATGTATTCCTCTTGTGTTGATGTGTACGTTTGGCTTTTAGAGGTCAGTAAATCAGCAAAGTCAGGGATTTAATTCCCTCTAGAGCCAGCTAGATTTAAAATGCATGAGCTAGTGTAAGGAGTTGTTGAGAAGCAATTTTCAAATGACAGTGTCTCATGCATTTGAGTGAATTTGGTGGCTTAATCGTTTATTATCATGTGCAAAAATCAATACCATAATTAGGTATATGATTTGATACCTCAGTGAGGTTTCCCTGCGGTGGGTACAGTCTCCTGCAGTGGACTGGGTTCAGCAGCTCACCTTTTCACTGAGGTTTTGCAGGCAACACATTTTTGGCACATTGTGGATGTTGATCTTTGATGTGCCCTCTGCCTGGAGATTGATGGGGGGTGATATTGACACGTCTGCCTTGTTAAGTTCCAAGTAATTTCTAACTACACAAGGACCTGTCTCAGTTCTCAGGCCTTTTGAGTGTTATTTTATTTATTTATTTGTTTTTCGGTGTGTGATGTTCATTCCTGTGAGCTACAGGCTCTGTTGAAACATGCATATTACTTGATCATCAGTAGATTTTTTTGAAGGCATTTTGGATTCAACTCAAAACTTGTTGTTGCAGAGATGCCAGAGGAAGGCCTCTTTATGTAACATGTTAATTTGAAAACCCTCACATTGCTGTTCCTGTCCAGTTTAGTCAACCGTTCCAGAGGTTTACATGTGGTGGTCCAGTGCCAGGGCATCCATGCATACAAGAAATCATGCTCAGTGACCTAAGTTCAATAACTACCATATCAGACACATCAGACAACATAATAAAAGCCTTCATGACGGCGCATATGAAATACATAAAGGGTCACTTATGAAATGATTTTTGTGGCGTTTGCTTAGCAACACAGCACACAGATGGATACACATCCAGTGAGTCACACAGCAGAGATGATGATAAGATGATTCTGATAAGTTGGAGCCAAAATGAATGGCACGTTAAGTTAATATTAAGAGAACATGGACTCTTACCAAGGTGCGGGGTGATGCAGGACGTGAAGTTCATAGTCAAGACAAAAAAAATATCCTTCATATTTCATAGCTTGAAACTTTTTTGTGTGTCATAAATGAATACTACTAGTGCACCAATAAACCATTAAGTAAGAATTTCTATTCTGAATTGAGTGACTTGAAAGTGATTTGGATTTCACTGATACTTTTCAAAAAGTGATGTGAAAATTATAAGCATAAGTGGATTTAGATAGAGAAAGTGAAAATATGATGTCATCACTCATTTTCTGCTTGTGTGAAGCTTCCCATCTAAAGGCTATCATGCAAATCAAATATTCAGCAAGCCGCGCTCTTGTCTGCATGCCAATATTTTTGTTGAAGGCAGTTGTTTTTGCTTCTGACAGCTATGACTGATCAAATATTGTTCTGAGACTTTGGTTGTAAAGGGTTGGACCAGTGTTAACAAGGCAGCCTGTTTCACACTGCCAGTCCAAGCCCTCAGTTCTTGTTAAACAGTTTCTCGAGTGATGGGAGGATGTGGTCGGAACAACACCGACCGCATTCTCATAGTAACAGCTGTAATACCCCGTGCTTAACAACAGGCTGACTTTTGTAGAACATATTTGGTGGTGTGGGTGTTAATGCATGTTTGTGGTGAGAGGGTTCAAGCTTGAGACCTTTCTTCCAAAATTGCACGTGCAAAGTCTAAAAACCTGAAACCTACAGTTGTTGGCTGACAAAATAACATGTTTGCGGCACTTTTAATTCAGTGGTTTCTGAATGCTGAACTTAAATTGATACTCCACCCAAAATCTGCACTTACCGTCCCACTTATCTTTTCAATGATGGCACATTTTCAAGCACAAATATGTCCACAGAAGCTTCTCTAAACTCCCTAGCTTTTAATTTGTATGCTCAGTATATTTGAAGCTATTGTTTTTGTCCAAATACACTGCCTCCATGTCGCCCCCAAATGAAACAGACTTTTCTGGGACAATGCTGGGCATATGAATTACTGTAAAAATGGAAACGAGTATTATGCAGAAAGAGTGGTTGGAGAATTATTTATGGATGTTGCTATTCCTTGGAATTCATTTTAACTGACATTATTTGAAGTTGCCCACAACATATGACCACATCTTCCTGGAAAGATGAATCTACCACCGTTTGACAGCCATCTACATGGGGTTTCATAGTTTGAGAGGTTTTGGGTGGAGTAACACTAAAAGATAACTTTTCTTTTCTCTAAGGAAGTTTTTTTTAGTTTGTAGAATAGTTTATAGGCTTGAAAATTAAATGATGAGTGTGTGGTATGTTTTTTTTTTTTTTTTTTAATTTTCTCATGAACTGCTGCACAGCTACTCCATAAGTGGACATCACCTTTGTTCTGATATTAACGCACCACATTTAGAGATTTGTGCAGCTTTACCAGAGGTATCTACACTTTTGAGTGCTTTGTAGTTTGAATTATAACTTTTCATGTTCTCAATTCATCAAATGTGTAAGTGCTGTATTAAAGATATAGTGTTGTATGTTTAGGTTACATAGTGACTATGTGATACTAAAGCATTTATGCATAGCTTAAGTGATGGCTTAGGTGTTTACTAGTCCATTTTAAACCAGGCCTTCACCAGGAAATTATAACCATGTTGTGTGTGGGTGGCCAGTGGCAGGAGAAATAATGACCCATGGCTACACTTTTCTTCCCACCTCACTTCTCATCTCAGATCATCTCGAAGGTAGGTGAAGAGGATATTTCCATTGCTTTGTAAATAACACTTATTTCGCAGCTCTGGTAGGAGAAGAAAACAATCTTAGCTTGTGATATAACCCTGTTAAAAGGGAAAACAATATGGCAATAATTATGTTGGACCAGCACACTGCCGTGAGTCTAAACAAGTCTGAGTTAAATAGATTCCCCTTTGAATTCATCTCTTAAACATGCTTAAAGGTGAAATGTTGTACTAGCGATGATGAGAGTGTTGGCAACGCTGTCTGTGAATGCTTCCTGGTGACATAATAGAAACTGTTTGTGCCAATTCATCTTGAAAGAGCAATGGGGAAACTCCAACACTCGGCTGGACTACCAATGGTGTAATTTTATCACTCAGTCAGTCAATCAGTGAGAGACATTTGTGTTTTCAGGGTGTGCCCCGCTGTTGCGGTTCACCCAAAAAGTCTTTCAGTTCTGTGCAAGATGACAGTGCATCTTTGCTACGCACATTGTACATACCTACATTTACATTTGACAATAATGATTTTAAAACTGGTTTCCCATAGTTATAAGTCTTGGCAGAGTTGAAAGTCATTGTTAGGTTGTAGATTCCCTTTGACTACGTGGTATTTACACTCACTGAGCACTTTCTTACGAACACCATACTAATACTGGATTCCACAAGATTTTGGAAGGATTCCTTTGAGATTCTGCTCCATGTTGACATGACTGCATCACATCATTTCTGCAGATTTGTCAGCTTCACATTCATGTTTCTAATCTCCTGTTCTACCACATCTCAAAGGTGTTATATTGGATTCAGATGTGGTGACTGGGGGGGTTGACCTCTGATTTGTGACGTGGTGTATTATCTATTGAAGGCAGATGGTCAGCAACAATACTCAGATAGTTTGTGACATATAAACCATGATTGATTGGTATTAAGGGGCTCAAAATGTGCCAAGAAAACATTCCCCACCCCACTTGTTAACAACACAAGGCAGGTTGGGTCCATGAATTCATGCTGTT